TTTGTGTGTTTGTGTGTTTGTGTGTTTGTGTGTTTGTGTGTTTGTGTGTTTGTGTGTTTGTGTGTTTGTGTGTTTGTGTGTTTGTGTGTTTGTGTGTTTGTGTGTTTGTGTGTTTGTGTGTTTGTGTGTTTGTGTGCTTGTGTGTGTGTGTTTGTGTGTTTGTGTGTTTGTGTGTTTGTGTGTTTGTGTGTTTGTGTGTTTGTGTGTTTGTGTGTTTGTGTGTTTGTGTGTTTGTGTGTTTGTGTGTTTGTGTGTTTGTGTGTTTGTGTGTTTGTGTGTTTGTGTGTTTGTGTGTTTTGTGTGTTTGTGTGTTTTGTGTGTTTGTGTGTTTGTGTGTTTGTGTGTTTGTGTGTTTGTGTGTTTGTGTGTTTGTGTGTTTGTGTGTTTGTGTGTTTGTGTGTTTGTGTGTTTGTGTGTTTGTGTGTTTGTGTGTGTTTGTGTGTGTGTGTGTGTGTTTGTGTGTTTGTGTGTTCTCGTGCTCGTGCTCGTGCTCGTGCTCGTGCTCGTGCTCGTGCTCGTGCTCGTGCTCGTGTTCGTGTTCGTGTTTGTGTTTGTGTTTGTGTTTGTGTTTGTGTTTGTGTTTGTGTTTGTGGTTGTGTTTGTGTGTGAGTGTCTGTGTGTGTGTGTGTCTGTGTGTGTGTCTGTGTGTGTGTGTCTGTGTGTGTGTGTCTGTGTGTGTGTCTGTGTGTGTGTGTGTCTGTGTGTGTGTGTCTGTGTGTGTGTCTGTGTGTGTGTGTCTGTGTGTGTCTGTGTGTCTGTCTGTGTGTGTCTGTCTCTGTGTGTCTGTCTCTGTGTGTCTGTCTGTGTGTCTGTCTGTGTGTCTGTCTGTGTGTCTGTCTGTGTGTCTGTCTGTGTGTCTGTCTGTGTGTCTGTCTGTGTGTCTGTCTGTGTGTCTGTCTGTGTGTGTCTGTCTGTGTGTCTGTCTGTGTGTGTCTGTGTGCTGTCTGTGTGTCTGTCTGTGTGTGTCTGTCTGTCTGTGTCTGTCTGTGTGTGTCTGTCCTGTCTGTGTGTCTGTCTGTGTGTCTGTCTGTGTGTCTGTCTGTGTGTCTGTCTGTGTGTCTGTCTGTGTGTCTGTCTGTGTGTCTGTCTGTGTGTCTGTCTGTGTGTCTGTCTGTGTGTCTGTCTGTGTGTCTGTCTGTGTGTCTGTCTGCGTGTCTGTCTGCGTGTCTGTCTGTGTGTCTGTCTGTGTGTCTGTCTGTGTGTCTGTCTGTGTGTCTGTCTGTGTGTCTGTCTGTCTGTGTGTCTGTCTGTGTGTCTGTCTGTGTGTCTGTCTGTGTGTCTGTGTGTCTGTGTGTCTGTGTGTCTGTGTGTCTGTGTGTCTGTGTGTCTGTGTGTCTGTGCGTCTGTGTGTCTGTGTGTCTGTGTGGCTGTGTGTCTGTGTGTCTGTGTGTCTGTGTGTCTGTGTGTCTGTGTGTGTCTGAGAGGGTCTAAGTCCCCAAAAGGGGATGGCCATGCCATCCGAAAGAGAAAACAACCTGATGAAGGCTGTTTTGGATGCACTGGAATGCGGAAACCTCCCCATCCATGATTCAAACCCGTTGCTCTTCGTAGCATATGGTCAACACATATGAATGTCGATGGGATCGTCTATACAAGTTGCGCTGCTACCTGAATTGTGGTCAGTGGGAAATTCAGTTTGTCCCCCATGTCCGTCACAAATTGATCATGAACTATTCGAAATGTCAACCAAACCATACGAGTTTGTCCTAAAACGGGGGGATCATGGAGGCCCAAAACTGATGGGTGTCCTTCTGGTTTCCCTTTAAAGGCCATCCAAAAGCGGGCCCCATGAGGACACCCTCCACATGGCTAAGTCCTGTATGCCTATCAGCACCGCCTCTTGTGCTGGGGTGAAAGCAGGCAACATGCGGAATGTCTCTAAACATGATTGCTTCTTGGGCTTTTTCTGTCACTGTTCAGGCTTCTTGAGATCCGTCCCCATGCAGTTGAAAACGGGCTGGCCAAAGCACAAATTTTCGAGTGTTGCCCTGCCCTAAAGAGGCCAAGGCAGCCCACAAAACCAGGCCCAAACACATCAGCAGAACACTGGTTGCTGAAGCTTGCGACGTGTGTAGGAGTGTGGTGGGGCGGGATGGAACCACAAGCATCACCAGCATCACCAGCATCACCAGCATCCCCAGCATCCCCAGCATCACCAGCATTATCAGCATCACCAGCATCACTAGAATCACCAGCACCATCACCGCAACCAGCATCACCAACATTAAAAGATTAGCATCACCTGAATCATCGCTCAAGCTACAACATCACCCGCATCATCCACATAACATGATGTTTTGGGTTCTTCTTTGAAAGCAACGCAGCTGGTTGGGGAAGCCGCCAAGCCTCAAGGCGACACTTTTGAGGCTCGGAAAGTTTGCCCTTTCATATGGGTATGTGGTTCAAGATTCAAGAGGGTTTGGACCAAACAAAAAATGCGCTCTCCTATTGGATTCCCTTTGAGCCAAGGGGGAGTTGGAGGGAGACCGGGCTCTGATTCTCGTTTCGAGAAAAATAAAACATAGTACAGCGACAGGCATCACAGGCCGGGCTATTTCAGAGCAAGCGATTTCCAATGCAAGATATCACCCACAGATGGTGTGCAAACACCACGACAAATGCCAATGGAATGTCAATCTGAAGCCTGATAGACAACTTCCTGAGCGGTAGCTTTCCATTGGGCAGATGTGACGAAGCCCTCCGGAAGATGTTCTGCGCGTACTTCATGGCTGTTTGTCAGGGGACCTTTTTGGGGCAGTATCGGAAGGAAACCAACAGGCACGCTTCTCTAATCCAACACAACAATCAGCAGACGCACGGCAAGGGCTGCCACTCCCCCTCCCCCCCTCCCCCCCTCCCTCCCCAGATCTGCCGAGCATCTCCCTGCCATGGAAGTCTTTTCCGGCACTTGGGGGCGTGCCGAAAGGGTTGAGCCGAACTTGCGGCTGAGGGCAAGTTCTCCTTTTGGAGCTTGGAAAGGGAAACCCTCCATGTCGAAGGTTCGCCATGAGGGTCAAGCATCCGACCCTGAGGGTGCTGTCTCCATTCCCGCGCGACAGGCACGTCGCCGAGCCACCATTCTTTCGGGTACATGGGCAACATAAACCGTGGGGACCATCCCAACCACTTTGTATGGAGACATCAGGTACTTCCGCCAATTGTGAGCCTGACTCGCCAACCCACCCAGCCTCCTACCCATCTCAAGATGCTGAGACTGAATATGTGCAAACGGGCATACGCTGCACAACTCCCCAACAAGTAAAACGCTCCAATGACTCAGGATCCCAATCATGCAACACCGCAAGCCCAGCTCTTCATTCGAGTGTGAAGATCAAAAAGGCAAGGCCACTCCACACGAGTCTTTTCTTTGCCACCCCAAAACAGGGGGAGAAAAAAAAAAAACGGACTCCACGCGTCCATCACAAGTCCACCCTCCCTGCGCCGTTTCCGCAACGAAAGCTTCGCTTTTCGCAGTCGATGGACTCGAGGTCCCAAGCTTGGCCCCGGCTGGGGGGGGGGGGGGGGGCGGGAGATGGGGGTCGAGCAAGGGACGTGAAAGGTAATAATAACAATAAAAATAAGCATGGCTTTGTACATATCTAAGTATGCATGGATATGTATATATATATACATACATGCATACACATATATATATATATATATGTGCGGGTGTCTTACAATAGGGGGCCCCAAAAATGGTGGTGGTGTTTGGTTTCTCATGCTGGCAACCCTATTTGGTAAACCTGAATTGTCAAATGATGTCAAAAGACGCCCCAGAAGGGGCCAATCACACAAATCACCACTGGCAGGTGGAGGCATGCCATTGAAGAGCAACCAGCACCGTGGTCAAGCAGTGTGCATCGCCAAGAAACAGCCACCCGTGATGCTTGCCGATGGTGGCACTCCCATGAAGCCACTGCCAGATCGGCTAACTGGTTTGTGCTTATTCGCTTGAGAAACTCGCCACCAGCTTGTCTCGCCCCCTCAAACCTCCGCCTGATTTCGCGCCCACTCAGGGAGTTCTTCCCGTCACCTGAGATCGCTATAGGAGACGCCACGCGCAACAGTTCGGGCTGTGAAACGAGTGGGAAGCGCTGCATCTCTGGATCCTCGAAAAGTTTCCTTTGGCGAGGTCGTCTTACTGTCAGGTCACGCTATTCGGCACCGACCAAATGATCCTGATCAACTGGATGACATCACATGTGGCAGAAAACCGAATCTTGAATCCTGGCAGGACGCGAAAGCCCTAACTCCCCTTAAGTAAGGCTTCCCCTGAGGAGGCCGGTTCCGACCGGTGCTCAGCAAAAATTCAGGGGGCGCTTTCTGTGGACGATTGTAAAAGGCACATCATCATTTGCAGCGGTCCCCAATTTCAGGAAACATCCATCTGTCCATGCAATCTATTCCGGCCTGCCCCAAACACCTCCATGACCTGCAATAGCACTACCCCCCCCCAACTGCTGAAATCACATGAAACTTTCGCACTGCACACCCACAGTCCGCCGTTTTTTTTTTACATATATACATATATATATATATATATAGTATTCTTAATAAAGTAAAATTTCATCCATTCCAAGGAAAGCCCCTGAACAATTGGGGCCAGGGGGGGGGTTCTCAGAATAGACCCTCACAAATTGCATAGGTTTCAGGGGAAACCAAGAAAGAGGAAACCCCTGAAAAAGAAGAAGAACAAATAAGGACCCCCAAAAATCGTCCAAAGGAAACCTGGCGGCTGGCCGAATGTTGGCAACATAGGGACCCCTGCGGCCAGGCGCTCATGAGGCTTGAGGGAACAAACTGGGATCGCGCACACGTTGGGAGGCGATCCTTATCAGCCGCAGGTTTGAGGTACGGGAACCCCAACTTTGGTGGTGCGGTCAGGTCTTATACTGTCCGGGCAACTAACCGTTACTCCATTGCCTAGTTGCGATCTCAAAGGAGATCGCAAAACCCCTTGATTTGAAAAAACGGAAAGCACTCCCGAGTAAGAAAGCACATCACTTTGCAAGATCCCACGTTGTTTATTCCCTTTTCGCAAGATGTGCTGTAACAAGTGATTGCTTTCAACAGCGCACAGAACAACTCCCTCGCTACAAGGTACAAACCATGCAACTGTTGTGAAGTTGGTGGTTGTAAAATAGACAACAATCCCCTCGTTATACAGTATACAACAACTCTCTGTATCAAAGTACGCAACAACTCCCTGATTACGAAAGACACAGTGATCCGTTTCTTAGAAAATGTACAACAGCCCGTGCAACAAAGTATGTCACAACTCTCACTTGTTCAAAACACCAAACTATTCCCCTGCTCAAATCATGTGTTTCGCCAAAGCGCACGATGCTTCAACTCACGCCACAGCAGCCACCGCCAAATGTTTGGAAGCGGAGGGCAGCAAACTCCACGCGAAAAGGATCCATCCCTTTCCAAAGCCGGACACCACCTACAACATGGCAGCATGCGTTTTTTTTTCCCAAAAGCATCTCTGATGCTTGGGTTCTGCTTTAGGCTCCTCTGGGTTCCTGGGAGCGATGAAAGCTACGACGGAAATAAGAAGGGGTTTCCATTTCGATTGAGCTCTGTGTTTACCTTGACCTTGTGCTACAGGACCCCAACCCCTGGGTCATCCACACCCAACCTTGAGACCGTTCTGTCCCTTTTCCCGAACTGCAAAAACTCATCCCAACGGCCGAGCTGCTGTGTTTGGTGCACCATGAACCGCACCAGCAGACTGAAGATGGCGAAAAAGAGCCCCACGTTCCTCACAGAAAAATGCGGGCACCGATCTGCGCCGAGAAACATAACCCATTGAGGGTCCATTGCTCAAGCAGAGGACACAGAACTATTTGTGAAATGAGTGAAGAGACATGGGGGCCCCAACCACAGTTAAACCAGTTGACCAATGGCAACCGGAATATCAATGACTTGCAACAATCTCTGACCACCAGCCCTTTCTGTTGGCTAAACGGTCTGCATTTTGGGAGAGGAATCTTGGATCCGAAAGAGCCTTGGGGACCTACCAACAAAAACAGGGCTTGTCTGACCATCCTTACAACAAACAAGGAAGCCACAAACTTTCACAGTCATGACTCAAAATAGCCAGTCTCGACTTCAGGGACGACCCAAGACTGACACGCGTCCGGACTTCCTCCAAAAGAGACCTCCAATACAACCTTAAACCCATCCTAAACCCAGACATAGACCTAAACCCAGCCATAGACCCACCCTAAACCAACCCAACCAGCCATACACCCTCCCCAAACAGACTGAAATGAAGCCTGAAGATTAACCACCCGAGAACTGCTGTCTGCTTCTCAAGCAATACATCGGCACCAAAGTGCCAGGAAGGGATGTAAACAGTGGAGCGTTTGTGACCGGCAAGCTTTGCGCAAGGTCCCGATCACTCGTCGCCAGCTAAGACCCCTTAATTGTTTGGCACACAAAGAGACGCACACGCAGAGACACACACACACACACACAAACCCAAACACACCGCATCACTGACTGACTTGAAAAGGGAGGGGAGTACGTGTCAAATTCCTTTTCTTTCCCGCCGTGATGGCGGTCTCCCCAGAAGCACGGTTTGCAATGCGAAGCGTCAGCAGCGTCACGATCAGGTACTCCTGAGCGAAAGCTCAGCGCATGCCATCGCAAGAAAGGTACGTCTCCAGACGAGATTTAGACCATTCAAACCTAGGACACTTCACCTCACAAAGCGTTCCAAAACAAAAAGATGACGCCTGACTTCGGGAAGCCTGGGTTTGCCAGGGCCCGGAAAGTATCACTTGCACTTTTCGGAATCTTGTCTGAGGGGCACCAAAAACTGCAACACCAGTCGATTCGCAGCTGAGATCCGGCTGAACTGTGCCGCTGAAAGGCCCTGGTTGCTTCTGCCCCGTTGGCAACGATGTCCGGAGGCCTCCACACCCTTCGGCCGACGGGTCTCAACTGCCGCTGAGCTCTGAACCGCTTCTCTCAGGGAGGGCTGCCTTGAAACAATCCTTGATGCTTGTGCATCCCCCTGTTACTTGGGCAACGACGCCTGTATTTCATCTCCCCCCTTTGAAGCACCTATCCATGCCGCATTATCAGGAAAGACACGGGGCATGAGCAAGGGGTATATTTCCACTGTCCTCTTGGACTGGTGGACGCACAAACAAAGCGGCACGAGCGCTGCGTCAGGACCAGTGGGTTTTCATGAACCAGGACTTTCGACCTTCTGGTCTCGCCAGAAGGGTCTCGTCAGAAGCCACTTGACCAATGTCGACGGATGAAACATCAAAATGGACTGATGGGGTGTGCAAAAGGGCCCCGTCTCAAATGGGACACCCTCCTATTCATGAACCAGGATTCCTCCTGAATTCCCATTGGTCAGGACTTTCTCGAGGGCTGTTCTTGTTTCCCATGGGTCCAGAAAGTGCCTTCACAACCAGGTTGATTCATCAAAGGGTTCCCATTCCTGGGGCCAAGCCCCGGTTGGGCTATAAAAAGCAGAGGCGCCGTGCAGGCATCTGCTTGTCTGACAGCGCCTTCTTCGGTGATGTTCACCTCGTGAGTGAGACGCGCAGAGAGCTGGAGGGAGGACTCAAGAAATCCGTGTTCACCTATCAGGGACTTTGCGGGCGGGGGGCAAGACCCTATTCAGGGCCCAAAAAACATGCTGAGAACCTGCCTTGCATCTACCCAGACCGCACATTAGAAACCCCAAAGTCCTGTTCAAGCCTTACCTCAACTCCCGGGGTGTTTGTGCCCCCTTGAGACAAAGAGGGTGGTAGGACAGACCGATTCACTAAAGCGGTTCAAGCATGATCGAGGTTAGCCGGATTACTAGGTGATTGGAGCAATACATATTCACCATTCTGTTGTACATGCTTCATCGTAGCAACAAATCAAACAAGCTGTATACGGGTCTGTTTTGCAATTGGAGGCTCTTTGGTGTCCATCATTTGGGTGTCGATGTGGTGCCTATTGAAACCCAAAGCCGCTGCGTTTCCGCGTCGGCTCTCGGAGAAAAAGGTACGAACCACTGATCTAATTTGGTGCACCTGAGTGCCGAAAGAAGAAACGGGCTTGCGTGTTTGTCATGATACGAGTACTCCCTGTTGTTTTGGGGCTTAAAGGAAACGAACGGGGAACCACCATGTTGGGGTCCCCTCATTTTGACATATGCTCACATGTTCAACACAATGACAAACACATGCAACCACCGGGCAGACTGCAAGCCAGCCAACAGCAACCTCAAGCCTCAGCCCGTTCCGTTCCTCGCCCGGCGGAAAGAGAAAAAGACTGCCAGTGCCTTGTTTCTGGGCTACCCCAAAAACAAAAATAGGCGTTGTTCAAAACAAAAAACCGCGGGGGGACGATCCATCAATCTGCGAGTTTTGCCATCAGGGATCCTTCAGGCATCCCGTTGGCGGAGAAAAGTCGTGTCCACCAGCTTTGAGGCGCCAACTCCAAACTAGGTCCTCCAGTAGAGAGATTAGAATAAGGGTACCAACTTTTTTTCCCGGGAGTCTATTTTAGCACCCTCACTGTAAAAAAGGTGTAAAGGGCTTTTTTGGGGGGAGGGTACCCTTGTTTGGGGGGACCCGAAAAAGGGGTGAGAGGTCGGGCACCTGGCTGGGGGACCTAGTCTTCAACTCAGGCCGGGGCCTGCCAGTTCACCCAGCAGGCGGGGTTCTCACCGAGGCCAGCGGCACCTGAGAGGCGCAACGAGAGCAAGTCTACGGGCTCAGCTGGTTTGGCGCCCTAGGAGAAACCCTTTTTCCCTCCCACCAAACATGGAACCTGACAGGGGAGGGTCCTGGAAGATGTTCCTTTTGCAGGGATCCCCTACAGGGAGAGGGTTCCTGGAAGACCATGTTCCTTTACAAAAAAAACAAACTGTCAGGCTCCATGTCACTTGGAGGGTCTCAAGACCACAAGCTTTCACCTGGCACGCTGAATCGACGAATCCATCGGCGAATCCCCGGCCGGGGAGGAGCAGAAGGGCACGCCATACCATGGGGTCCCGCGGAACCGGCGCAAGGGCCGTGTCCCAGGCGAGCCGGGAGTGAGTATCTCAAGGGAATCCACTCACAGCTTCTGAATACCTCACTCCAGCTTCAAAGGGAATCCTTCAAGTCTGAATACTCACAGCTTCAGTGGTCTCAGTAGGTGTCACCTCACAGCTTCTTGCTCCGGCGTCCTTTCTGGTTCCCTACTGAATGCGCGACAAATGCGAGAAACCTACTGGCCGTGGAGTGAGGCTGCTAGCGAGAGCCTGAGGCAAACAAGAGGGAATAGAATATGGGTTCGTCTGATGGGGAGCCGCTAGACATTTGCGGTTTCCCCTGTGTTTCTCTGCTCCGAAAGCAATTGCGTGGGCATAGAGGGACGGTTTGAGGAATGATCATGTGAGGTTGCGGAACGTGCCATAAAAATCAAAAGATGGCAAAGGGGGTCGAACAAGCCTGCTTTGGGTTGGCTTGCAATTTGGAGGCCGTGTGGGGCTTGTGAACTCCGTCATCCGCGCATGGCCTGCGATGAGTCAGTGGCTGCGGGCTTCCAACACGTCAGCTTTCACCTGGGTCCTCCAGTACAGAGGTTAGGATAAGGGTACCAACCTTGTTCTGTAGTCTATTTTAGTAGGGGAACCCTCCCCCAAAAAAGGGTAAAAGAGCACTACTGGGGGACCCTGTCGAAGTTCCTCAAACGAGGCGTAAGAGCAACTCTACAAGCCATGCCTCCAGGATGTATTCTTAGGCAAAACGCGTCAATCCAAGCCTGGAAGACGGAGCTTGCAAGTCAAGCCCAAGTGTCTTGAAACTGCCCAGCGGCCCTGGGTGGGCTTGAAGGGAACCATTTCTGGGTCGCTCATTTCGTACCGACCGGAAAGAAAAGGCGCCGCCCAGGTCCCCATTTGGGAAGCCGTGCTTCAGACCTCTTTAAGAGGTGGTTAACCCCCTGAAATCTCCCGGGCGCCCTTTCAAGTGGCAGCTTCCAAAAGTGTGTGGCTCAAATGGCTGTGGGTCAAAAATAGGTACCAGACATGGAGCCCTGTTAAATGGAAAGAAGAACTAAAACCTGCGGTCCCCAATTTTGACTCATACCCAAATGCAACCCTCTCTACCACCAAGCCACTAGCCCTCTAAGATCGGCCCCAAGGTCGAAGCGCGGTCCCACTCCCCAGGCGGGACCTTTTGTTGGGGTAACCATGTTTGGGCGTCCCTTAATAAAATAAAAGAGGAAAAAACAAGTCACCCTTAGAATGCCAAAGTGAGCCAAGCAAATCCACCCCCAAAGAAAACCAAGACTTCCTTGCAAAACCATAGTCTTGGCCCTGCTGTTAATTAAACCTCGCAACCAGCAGGGAGATTCCAGCGACCGTTGCGAGCGGCCCGCGGCTTCTGGCTTTCTTTTCGTCTGCTATGTCCTCACCTCGCCGTCCACTCCGCTGCATTTTTGAAGGGCGATGGCCTGGCGCCCGACACATCCAGGTGCATGGCCCTGCTTGCGGCATCTTGCTGCGGAGGTCCTACACCGCGCCTTTCCTGTTGAACATGCCGCCCCTTCTGCTGGGGCTCCCTTTCTACCTCCTTCCTGAGAAATGGGTGAAGTTGCCTCAGTCCTTGCCTCTGATGGAAAAGGGAGGGAGGCGGGCGGGCGGGGGGGGGGGGGAAAGGGCGGGGGGACCTGGGGTGTTGTTTCCCCCTCTGCGACCTTCCGGGCCCACAGGACTCGAACAGATCCCATGGAGTGGAGGCATCGAATCGCCCAGCTTTACCCCCCGAGAACAAGGGAAGTACACGAGAATCCCCGGCCCGCATCTGCACACGAACTTGCATGTGTTCCAACGTCTGTTTAGTCTACCCGACTCTATAAAATAGTCTTGGAGGAGATCCCAGACTCCCATCCCTGGGCTCACCCAAAGAAACCAGGATCAAATGCGTGGGAAGATTTCACTGCGATGATTCAGCCTGGCTGGTATGGTCTGCTTCCAAAAACCATTTCGACTTTCTGTTTCGGGTGCATATCTACGTCACCCACCCAGGTTTTTGGCGAAAGGGAATCCCTACGAAAGGGGACATCCTTCTTGGTCTTCAACACCAGCCATGGGGGTCCTGTCCGAATGCCATGCGCAAGGTCCGTGGGCTGCCACCACTCGGCCTATAGATTCCGCTGGCAAAGGGAAAGCAACCAAACTGAAACCCGTGGAATCATCTGTATGTTCAACCAAAGTGAACTAGGTCCTCCAGTAGAGAGGTTAGAATAAGGGTACCCTTTTTTCTGTAGTCTATTTTAGTAGGGGAACCTCTCTCAAAGAAAAGGGAACTACTGGGGGACCTAGTGAAACGACAAAGGACACATGGGACGTTGCCACAAACCATCCCCACCCCCATCCCCACCAGAGACCAAGTGGTAGCCGAGTTCGGCTGGAGCTTCCTCATTCTCTCGAAGCCTCCCGGGGCTGGCAGCTTCTGATTTGGAAAACAGGGACCCAGGCAAACGTGTGTAAACCTGGAAACCAGCCACAAATGCGGGCTGTGAGGCAACATGACTGCCTCAACAATCTCTATGTGGAGATTTCATCCTCCCAACGCCGACCGTCAAGGTCACAAATAGGTCTGAGTTTGGGGGCATCCCTTTGGTGGACATCATTTGGGTACTTTTGAGTGATGTCCCGACAAAAACGAACAAATGAGACATAATCAAAACTCATTTATGGCTGGGATTCTTCCTCACCAACCTTCATTTGCCGTGGTCTTTATCTTGGCTCAAATGACTCATGCGGAGATAATGGTCTCTTCCAACAGCGTAGGGTACCTTCGGATGCTTGCAGTTGTGCCATCAGGATCCAACGGGTCGCAGGTCATCTCTCTGAAAGTTTGTCCAGGTCTGCGGGTTTATCCATCTTACCTACAGTATGACTGCTCATGGCCGACTCTGAAACTCTTGGAGACACGAAACGGCAACCCGGGGACTCCCGAGCCAGGGCCAAAGACTCGCTCTGCAACCCGGGGACTCCCGGACGCGTTTTGTTGGAAAGGCAAAAGCAAAAAAAGAACGGCGGGGATTTTGCCAAGGCCTCACCTGCTGAGTGGATGGCCCCAAAAAAGTCCAAACTTTAGATTTGCCACTAAAATGGTCTTCCCAATAAGTGAGAGGCGCCTTTCTGACCTCAAAGAGTCGGCCCCTAGTGCTGAGACCCGGCCGTCCAACCCCCCACGAAAGGGATGCCCTTGGCCACTCACAAACAGTGGCTGGCTACAAAAACAATCCTTCCGCCATGACCCAAAAATCCTGAGACTTCTGCAAACCCGCAGCAGACGTTGAAGACCAACTCCCACCTCTTGGTTCCCCCCAAAAGCACCGCCCTTTTTGAGGGGCGCTGGCCATTTTGAGCCCCTGCCCCCTTTCACCGGGAACCGAAGCGCCGAAACCGCCACCGAAGCGACGCCTGGACACCCCGCTGCACGATGGTGATGCGGTCCCCCAACGACAGGGCGATGCCCTGGGTCCGCGACCGGATGCGGCAGCTGCCTGGCGCAGGGAAACCGACACCACCGCCCGCCGTTTTTACATCGGCGGAAGGTGGATGGAGTTCTCTGAGAGTTACCAAAAGGAAACTCAGTCAGAAGCATTGCTTCTTGTTTACCAGTTTTACTGCAACATGTCGGAATCGTTGCTTCTTTCTGACCAGTTTTGCCATCATGATGCTGACCATAACCCTGACATGGATCTCGCAATGGCGTGGGTTCAATCTGGTGGATGGTTGGAATATACATGCTCAGATTCCTCTTTGCTTGGACAGAATCATTTGAGGCTGCCTTTCTACCATGCCCACGGCTGTGAAGGCGGAATCATGGATCTGGCCGGCTGATTCAAGGTTTGAGGCACCCCAAATACCTATAAGTGTGCGGTTTGAATGTGAACGTTCTATCTGTACTGAATCGCACTGAAAGTGTGCATATTCAATGCTCAAGTCTTCGTTGATCGAGCTCCTTTGCCCCTTTGCCTCAACCACGAAAAGTTTGATCAGGTTTTCGGCTCCAGCTTGAGGCGCAAGCTGGCCCGCTGGCTTTGGAAAATGCTTGCAAGGGGTCGAGCCAACCTGTGGACATACCCAGACAACCACCCGGCCTGTCAACTTGCCATCTGGGAGTTTCTCGATGGAGATGTTCGCAAGAGCATCCTGCACACGGGACAGAATCAGCATCTTCAACAGGTCGCTTGTTCAAGGTTCCAAGGCTACCGACTCGGTCGTCCCCCCTCGGCCATAAACTTGCTTTCGGCCCTCCATCTCTGAAACCCAATCCCACAGCCTCGCTGCTTGGATGGGAAACTTCCTCTGCAGTGCCGAGTTTTCAACCCAATGAACCTACAAAATCGGCAAAACATTCACCAGCCATGGTTTAGCCCATGAGAATTACCAAAGCAAAGAAACAAACCTAGTTTTATAGTTGGATTTGGTGGGTACCTATCAAAACCCTGCCCCAGTGCTCCTCACCGAAGATGGACTTGGCGTATAAATTCACCGCCACAAAGCTCGAGGTGTCGATCAGCTTCTTGATCCTCAGGTGCCCAGCTAGCAGCTTTTGTCAAGGGTGCACATGTTTACGTTTGCTGCAAAGAAAACAAAGGGCACATCTAGAGAAAGCCCTCTGGAGCAGCCTTGCTTCCCCAAACAACCCACAAATGTCCCATGTTACGGCAATGCAAACAACCTGTGAACGAAACAAAGGGGTGCTTATCTTTAGGCACACCCAAAGCGTCGACTGGCTTTGCAAACAACCCAGCGGATCAGCTGGCCGCTCACTGTCTCGATGGAGGCTCTTGAGAGAATTGCTGGTCTATTCAGATGCGAAGAGCAAACACACAAAGGGCCAATGAATTGTCCCACGAAGCATGAAAATCGCCCCACGACTTGGCAATTCTCCTTCCCCCCCCCGCCCCCCCCCCCGGTGGCAAGGTGAAGGAAAAGGACCAACCATGAGTTCGACAGGCCAAGAGCGGGAGCAATATCTTCCAGAAGCCACCCTTCCTGGGTCGTCTGGCCAGCTCTCAACTCGATTTGCAGCTGAAGCGAGGAAAGGTCTGGGAGTAGCAAAACAAACCCGGGCGTTCCGCTCCTAGTCAAATGGACTTCCAAAAATGAGCTTCAAATGAAACAACGACAAAAACCGGCCAGCCGCCAAAATGCGTTCAAACTCTGTGGCCTTTTTTCGATATGAAAAGGACGCCCTTGCGTCCCAAAACTCTCAGAACACCCAGTTGGCAGGTCAGAACGAGTCCCTTCGAATCACTCACCTGCATTCGGATTTTGGAAACCTACGGCCCAACACTCTGGCCCTCTCAAGGGGGGTGGCTGCGCGGGGTGTGTCCCATTTGGACCGAAACAGGTTCTAGAGCCTTTTGGGGAACAAGGACCATCTCGTTTGAGAGGGTCTAACTCGATTTCGCCAGACAAAGACGACAAAAACAAAACATGCCTGCGCATCTTTATCCCCCCCCCCAACTCATGCATGTGCCCACTTCCCCAACTTCGTAGCCTCCTCATCTGTGCCAAGCATCCCAACGGCGTCCTTCAGCATGTCCTGCACGTCTTCTGCAGTCAGTTTGCCCTTCTTCTGGGTCTTGTTGTCACCTCAGGACAAGGCAAGCTGAGGCTCCTTTCTGGCTCCAAGTGGAAAGCCTCACATGAAACCATGAAGAGTCCTTGTGCGTGCATGCATGTCTGTACTTCGGCATTCTTGCAAAAAGGAACACGCGGACAAAGACACATGCACACAGACAAATGCGCATACACATACACATAAACATATATACACGTACAGGTACACGTACAGGTACACGGCGTACGCGTACATGCAGACAAACATACACATACACATACACGTACACACCTACTACAAATACACTGTATGCTGACGCAGACGCATAGCACAGCCATGCGCATACGCATACGCACACACACACAGGTATGGATGACATACTAATATGACAAATCAACAATCCAAATTACAGGCTCCCCACAAGGAACTTTCCTCATCGAGGTCGCAACCCCGCCCCCAATTTCCCCAAATGTTTATCCCAATTAAGACATAGTCTGCTCGAGTCCACTGGTAGCAACTGCGGTTCTGACACATCCCTCCAAGCAAAACACCGCGGATCATCTTTGGAACCCTCTGCTGGCTTCAATCCTCTCATTCAAAGGCCTGATTGGTGGGTGGGAACCGCCGTCACTGCGGTTTCAGAAGGACAAACGGTCGCCCCCGCGCTTGTGGCAGCAACAAGTGAAAGTCCTGAGTCCTCCCGCAAAGAGCAACCTTTTTGGAAACGCACGGTGAGTCTTTCAGCTATTTGGGTGTTTGTGAGTCTTTGAGCTATTTGCGTGTGTCTTCAAATAGGGGGTGTCCTTTGGCACACCTTTAAAACACACCAAAAACGGCTACCAGCAAAAAAAGCCGCGCCACCCATTTGGGGCACTCCAAAGATCGTCCAAATGCTCACAGGCGGCCTCGATTCGGTCCGATTTGATTTTTCACGAGGCGCCGGTCTTCTTGTAGCTTCTGCCCACGATGGACATGTTGGTGTTTCGCATGATGTGCTCCAAGAAGGTGCCCACCTCACCACAGGATAAAATTCATCGACCCCCAAGTGGTGTTTCTTGCGCGTTGCCTTTCTTTGGGGGGGAGGGGGAGGTGGTTTGTGGCCAAAAGCGTAGCCAAGCGTTCTTTGACTTTGCACGCCAAACTGCGCTTGCAGACTGCACTCGGACCGCTTGCGCTAGTCTTGGTGCTATCGGTCCCATTTGGCCCTGTTGCTAAAATCATGTCATTTGGTCAGATTGGCCCATTGGTCTCATTCCCTCCTGTCTATGCCTTTGCTTGTCTATAGGGGCCGGGAAATTCTGAGGGGAGTCTCCATTGCTGGATGGACGAAATCCTGCAGTTGAAACTCATGAAAGCCTTTGAATACTAGAATGAACCCCCTACCAATTGCTCCGAAATGGATTGTGTCCACCCACAGTAACTACGGCTCGAGCATTCTAGTGCAAAAGGCACTTGCGAGGGAGAAGCGCGCAGGTGTCTCTATTTTAGGGGGTTTCCTTCTCAAGCTCGTCTAGTCAAACGGTTGGCCCTCTCGACTCCTATGAGCTTTCGCTAGCTTCATCTTCCCTTAACCGCCTTCTTTCCAAATGATCTCTGGTCCCCGAACGCAAATTTGGCAAGTGCCGTGGCTGCTAAAGGGCTTTTCTCCTGTGCCGTAGTCTGCGCACAATGCCCACCCTCAGCATCCTCAGCATCCCCCGGCATCGCCAGCGGCAGCCCGGTACACTAAATCCATGTGCAACCGGCCCTCAACCCCTCCTGAGCAAGCGAGCCCACCCCAAACCAACCCTCGATCAACCCTACACTCTTTCTTCTGCACCCACCCTTAGCCCCTCTTAGCCAGCCACAAGGTAACCTCCAAAATGGGGACCAACGCTGAACAAACTCTAAACGCACCCCCAAACCACCCACCCGAACCCAACCCAGCCGCAACATAACCACCCCGACCCCACAGGGGGGCGCCAAACCAATCCTCAAGCAACCGTGGGGGGGTTCCACATGCGGTGGCGAGGCAAGCCCTTGCCCTCTATTGTGGTATTGGCGCATTCCGGCGAAGGGTAGGATAAAACATGTGCATTCAAAGGATGCAGAAGAAGTGCCTGGAATAGAAAGCTTCTAAGCTCACTTGCAACTACCCTTGAAATTGTGTTGCTTCTTTTCATCATGGACTCTTTGGAGAACCAAGAAAGGGGCATGCATGTATGTTCACCAGCCACTTTTGAGGGCTTCCCCTGCCTCGGTGATGGAGGTGTTGATGTTCACCTTGTTTTCCCACTCAAACTCCGACCACATCGTGCGGAAGGCCAACTCGTTGATCCATGATCCTCAGTGAAAACTGAGACCCGGTGCAGACCTGTGGCACTACCGTATATGAACTCATATGTAATTGCATGTATGTAATTGTACGTAATGTGATTGCATGTATGTAGTTGTATGTATGTAATTATGTATATGGAATTGCACGTGTGTAATCGCCTGTATGTAATTGTATGCATGCAATTGCATGTATGTCATGTATGTCATGTATGTCATGTATGTCATGTATGTCATGTATGTCATGTATGTCATGTATGTCATGTATGTCATGTATGTCATGTATGTCATGTATGTCATGTATGTATGTAATTGCGTGTGTGCAAATGTCTGTATGCAATGTATGTATGCATGTAATTGCGTGTATGTAATTGTATGTATGTAATTGTGTATGACTGTACGTACGTATGCACGTATGCACGTATGCATGTATGCATGTATGCATGTATGTATGTATGCATGTATGTAGGTATGTATGTACGCATGTACGTATGTACGTGTGTGTGTCTATGTAGAGAGAGAGAGAGAGAGAGAAAGAGAGAGAGAGAAAGAGAGAGAGAGAGAGAGAGAGAGAGATTCACAACACCTGTAAAGTGATGTACAGCACGCATATGTAAAACTGTGTAGATACGCACAGTAATGCAAAGCCAAGAAATGGATATAGATAGAAATATTGAGAGAGAGAGAGAGAGGGAGATGTGTGCAGATATCTGGTATATATCGTGTAAAGTGTGCATGCGCGCCCAAGCGCGTGTGTGTGCGTGTCACATATATATATACACACATACATGACATACTTGTACATACATGCTGGGGCTTGACAAAATGACAAGCCTGTTTCAATCCAGACCGCGCTGCACACAGTGTTACCGAAACGGGTTCCAACAAGAGCAGTAGTTCATCCACCTTCAGCGTATAGCAGCCCCCCAAGAACAGTTCGGCGCCCAGTGTTGTTGTGCGCCACCAAAATTGCCTGTGCCTTTTTGGGGGCTGGTGCTGGGTTTAGAGGGAAGGCGGAGGACCAAGCATGTATCACAGATTAGTTCAACCGCCGAGCCCCTGATGTTGACAACCCCCCAAATAGAGATCGATGCCAAAATCGGGAATCCCCCCCTCCCAGCAGCGACGGTTGCGTGTTGGTGTCCCTTTGAAACGAGTCGGCCCGTGGCTTGACAACCCCAATGCAAACAGAAACATGTGACAGGAATCTGTGTATCTTGGAAGCTGGATTTTGGGGTTGCAAAGAACAGCATGCAATGCTTCTGCCCGTCCAGGGAGAGGTTGCAGGGATCCCTATAGCAAACACTTGGCATGCCCTTTCCAGATTCAGGAATGTCTCGCGTGACGTGTGATCCATTTTAAGTTGGCATTTGTCTAGGTACTAATCCGAAGTTGACATGGGCCCGGAGACTTCAAGAAACGACGCCCATGTCAGTTGTCCAGAGGCCACGAAGAAAAAAACACATGGGCCTGAAAAGGAGGTTCAGCAACACCTGAATATTTCTTGGCGGCCGCTCCTCTCATATGAAAAGCCCAAGTGGCTCTCAATGTAATCTAAAATGTCCACGTGCAACTCGTTCAGCACCTGACAAGACGCAAAGCGCTTGTCAGAAGTCAGCGCAACGTGGTGGCCCGAGCACTTGGTCATTGCCACACGGCATTTTCTTTATGGTGGAGTATCAACTGCTCTGTGATGCTATGGATCATTCCTATGTCGACTTCACTTTCAATGGGATCCCCTTAGTACCACAGAAAGTGGCAACCCACAAACGATTTCCCAAAGTCAAGCTTTCGTTTGCCTTTGGGTCCTATTCGTGCTGCAGAAGCAAGGAAGGAACAAAATCCGAGCGCCTAGCGCTACCTGTTCAGGAATCCCATGGATTTGTTATCTCATGGGCTTGTCTCCAAAAGGGTGTTTCCAGTAGTATACATGTCAGGTCCGTACAAGTCTAGGTATATGCAGAAGCCTCTGTTGCCTTGGTAGAACCACGAGTTCTGGGCAATGGGGCACTGCGTGGGGAAGGCTCATGGGGTCTTCAGGCCCATATCTTTGATATACTATACTTCTTGGTACTTCTTGTCAAGTATGGGATTCCCATGTTTGGAGCGGACCACAAAGAGTCGGCTCTCGGGCATCCGTTTTAGGGCGACCCTTGAGGCTGAAGTGTAAAAAGCGAATCCGATACAAGTGCGCGTCTTGGTTTGTCAGCGGACCCCCCAAAAGGGCAACACGGTGTGCCTCTTGGTTTTCCTTTCAAACCACCTGAAAACGGGACACCCTCAAAAAGGACACACTTGAACTCCAGATGGAGAGTGCTAATCTTTCGAGTACAACTGATGAGTTTCGAGTACAACTGATGAGTCTCGAGTATGGTGAGTTTCGACTCGCACATCACTCAGCTTCCCTCTAGTTACTTGAACAGGGGCACACAAAGCAACGGCGGTTCAGGGAGGGGACCAAAAGGACCTTCAGAAACATCACTTCACAAAAGCAGGTACACGCGGATGATCAGTCCGCGCTTCCCCCATGGTGGTTAGCTTCGTTGGCACAGGTCACCACCATGGGCCTGTGCCCCCTGCTGCGAAACCGAAAGGGTGGTGACAGGGCATTCTGTCACTCCGCACACACACGCCCCTCTACGAGGGGCGAAGTTTCTCTTTTCTCCTGCTGGAAGATCAAATGCTCACACTCAATTGTCTATCGTTGACCAAAAAATCCTCCACGGCGAGGGGAGCGAGACACCGCCCTGAACCGCTCAGAAGACGGGAACGAAAGATCACCACGTTGAGCATTGCGAGTGTCGCCATAGAGGACTGAAGCGATTTGCGAAGCAGCCGGGCGATCACCTTGAGAAAACGGAGTGGCATAGGTGAATGTCTCCTCAACTGGAACGGCATCGGAGTTTCGAACTCGACCAAGCGTCTGATCATGTGGATCGCGAGTCGTGAATGACTCAATCCGAGACAAGATGCGCTGGTACCCTTGGTGTTGCCAGTCACGGATGTCCCATGCTTGGACTGGCGCGTCGGGCTCAGTCACCCGTCTCCATTCACGAAACGAATTTTCAGGGACATCTGGCAAGGCGTCCCCGCGGTGCCATCGTTGAGGATGTCCTGGAGTGTATATCCGCACCCACTCCTGATCATGCCAGACTGAATATTCAAGCCATGGGTGCTGCTTCGAATCATCGATGTCCATGTCGAGGCAAGAGGCAAGAATTGTCGCGGGCTCCGATCCGGCTAGTAGATAAACAAGCACAATGCACAACCATGTTCAACCAGCAACCAACAACCAAGCAAAATCATGCAAGTGCAAAGATCACCCTTATTTCGTACGCTGCGCTGCTCATGCGAGTCTAGTCTTCAGTGAGCTCGAAGACGGGACTCATCTTGTCTCGGCCACTGTCGGAAGGATTAACGGGCCGGTAGGGGTCGGAGACCCCAATCGTCTCCAATGATGTGCTTCCACGCGATGCACGTACTGGTTGATGAGGATGGGAAGCTAGACGTGCGCGAGCTGTCAGTTGTTGCGAAATCCCTTCCTGGAGACGAGTCAGTTCTTCAGTAGAGAAATCAGCTGCATCCGAGGACCTGAGAATCGCGTCTAACAGCTCTGGCGACATACTCAATGCCGCAGACTGCGTGGCCACGCTGTGATGATCGGGGGGATACCCTGAGTCAAATTCATGACCAGCGTGAGGGGCAGCGATTCGTCGGTAGCCCTCTGTGGCCCAGTCTCGTTTGTACCACATAGTGACTTGGGCCTGCTCTCCGACTGAGGCCTGGTTGGGTGCATAGAACTCCCTCCACTCTCTAAAAGTGTGCGGAGGAGGTGGATCATCATGTTCTTCTTGCGGCGTCCACGGTCCCGGATGAAAGATCTTGACCCACTGGGCATCTGGTTGTTGAGGGTCCGGGCACCATTCCAGCCACGCCATGACAACACAACCACGGAAAGACAAGTTGATAGGTGTACGGCTGCAGACAACAACAAGTGCAAGCAAGTCAACAATCATAATGCAAAAGACCACTTTTGTAACACTGTGCGGCGCCAGCATCATAGTCTGACTCTCCAGGGAGGCGAGGGCGGGCATCAGCTCTCAAGCGAATTAGATGATGCCGAGGAGGAAGTCATTCCAGCATACATGAGGTCCGGTGCGCCCGAAGCAAAAACTGGCCTCGCTATGCTAGGATGTGGACGACCCAGGCGTTGATACCCCCTGGTGACCCAGTCCCTGTAATACCAAGTGTAGAAGGTGGCGTAAGATACCGGTTGCAGAACCGTGCCTGTGGTTGTGCCGCCCGTGCTTTCCCGGGGCCAGTACACTTCGAAGTGGTGGACCTTGCGCCATTCCCGATAGGTGGTCGAGTCATCCGGGGCCGGTCCCAGGGTGTCTGGGGCTACTGGATGCCACTGACCCGGAACATAGATTCGAATCCATTCCACACTCGTTCCTGCTCGACTATGAACGATGTCATAGTCAAAATAACGAGGTAGGACCCATCGTGCTGCACCCTGCACTGTACTATTGAACATTTCAACCCAACAAGCTGCTCACAGTTAGCACGGAAAGCGGGGAACACACTGAAACGACATGCACAGCACCAAGCAAGACAACCCAATGTGAGCACACATACAAAGCAAGCACAACCGCATCTTTGTCCAACATGCTGCTCAAGAATCAATCCGACTCATTCCAAGGATCATGGAATGGCGGCGGTGACGGTTCCCGCCACGCCCCATCCGGTACCGACGAGCCCACCGAGGACTCGACGTCCGCATTGACGAGCATCGCGAATCCCATGGATTGTACAGGAGGTCCAAGGCGTTGATAACCTCGTGTTTGCCAGTCCCGGTACTCCCACACGTGGTAGGACACATAGGCACTGGGCGTGGCGATAGGATCCATTGTAGTTCCACCGGTGCTGTCTTCAGACCAGTACACTTGGAAGTGATATGATCTGCGCCACTCCCGATACGTGGAAGCGTACAGTGGGTCAGGAACAGGCGCCTCATCGGGAACGGGCCTCCAAATGCCCGGAGAGTAAATTCGAATCCATTCCACTCCTCTATCGATCTGGTACTCGAAATACTGGGGGTTCATAGCAGCAATACGTGCTTGCACGACTGTTGAACCAATCGAAAGTCTGCGGCAAGGACACACATGCATTGCCAACCGCACATACACACTGAAGAGTGAGGCAACTTTTCAAACACAAGATGAAACGCAGCAACGAGGTCGGAAAAGTCAGACTCCTAGCTTTCACTGTCGTTGATGTCGCGCACAAATGATAGTGACCTGGCCGTCTACGAGCACAAGGGGAAAGACATTTCCGTCCATGGCGCAGGATGGCGTGACAGTAATGCTTGCACGCCGCCGAGGGGGATTGCGATGGACGGCCTGCACGTTTGGAATAAAACACTGTAAAGGGCCGTCGAGATCGCCGCGGCGCCGAAGCTGATGCTGTCCGAGATCGTTTGGACGAGGGCCCTGGACTGCGTGGTTCTTCATCACGGGAGGGGTCACTGCTGTGGATCGAGCGGCGTGTGCGCTGCGATTTCGAAGAGGTAGGGCAGGATTGTCCACGAGGGGCTGAGATCGTGGGGCTGCGTACCGAGGGCATAAACTGTGGGTGAAGAATCACCGGTGGTGGTGGTGGTGGTGGAGGAGGAGGTGGAAGAAGCAATGGCAAACTTGGCGGGGGCGGAGGTGTCGTAGTTAACCGTATGGGTCTGTCGAGTAGAGCCCCGGGTCCATGAAATTGTAACCACGTCGGCTGCGCTCCATGGGTCCAGGTAATGTACGTCTGTACAACTTGTTCCGACATGATTTGAGCAACTCAGGCAAGACATCACTGCATGTCAACGACATTGCACAACACGACAAGCAAGATTGAGTCACATGCGAGCAAGCAAATATCATGTGATCAACAACGCGAATCGGACACACCGCCGCTGCGTATCATTTGGTCCATCAATGGTCGTTGCTGCATTTGTCGGGCATGTTGCTAGCCGCGAGCTTCAAGTTGTTGATAGACCTTCCATGCCTGCTTGACTTCCTCAATCGGCTTCTGAAGAAACCGCGCAATGGTCTTATAGGTGGGCCTGGAATCTTTATCCTTCTTCCGTCTCACCATTTCATCCAGCTCACCCTGTGTCCATGCCGTGAAAGGTTCACGGTACGCATTGCGAAGTGCAATGGTAAATTCTTGTAGAAGTTCACGAGGACCATGGACCACCGTCGGCGACGGCCGGAACGACGAGGCACCTGGATGCGGACGTATCGAACCATCAGAATCCGAATCAGGTGTCGTAGGCGTCGTTTGTCCTGGCTCTCGTCCACCGTGTATCGCGATAGGAGCAAGGGGACGAGGAGGTGGTAGTCGATCCAACATCGATTCGGGCCGAGCTCCCGGATTGTGGTCACTAGCATCACGATGTGCCGCTCGAGGCGGGGACAAAGCCGGTATGTACCAGGTAGATGACGTGTCCAGCGGTCGACCCCGAATGCGTGCGGGTGATCGAGATCTGTCAGATGAGGGGTGCTCCGTGATGATGCGGGGCCGCAACCCATGTCTGGAGTT